TTCGGAGGAATTCATGTCAGCCCTGTTCTAAGGCTTCAACCCGGGAGGCTTTTATCGGGCCCCGGGAGGATTTTAGACTGCTTCAGGACCGGATATTCATAGCGGCCTGCCCTTGATGAGGCTGCGATTCTCTATCGGTGGCCGGATTGGTGGTTGATCCCTGAGCATTCACAGTGCTGACTTCTGGCGCAAGTGCTGAATTACAGCTCGGGTTATTCCCCACTGGCCTGCGGGGAACTGAGCGCGCTCTAGAACATGAAGGGGTTGTTGCAGAACGGACGGGGTGTGGCCCACTCCGTACAGGTAATGATCTCACGGTGGAAGGATAGCATTTTGGACAGAGATGTGTTGAAGGCTGGGGCCCTGAGGGCGACACATAGGTATAAAGGATTTCGGTTGACCTGGGTAAAAAGAAATAGTTGTTCCATTCAGCAAGGACTGCTTCTATTCTGACTTGGCGCTCGTCGTCGCCTTCCTGGGCACAGTCCTTGCGGTCACGCTGAATTTCAGCACGGAGCTTACGAGGTAGATGAGACTGACTAGCCGCTGGGGCCAAATGCGGGGGGAATAAGTAATTTAGAAATGTGTCCCAGTCATGCTGCATAATTTCGACACCACGTGGCCGCAGACATTTGGGAAAACGATGATAGTCTTTCGGCTGGCTTCGGGGGTAGATAGTTAAGGTGTGCTGGAGAAGCTCCTGGGGTTCTGCGTGAGAAACCGGTCGCACTCTAAAGTACGGGGCGCCAGAGATGAAGTTGGGAATAGAAGCAAAGTTGTTGTAAGGCGGTATTCGAGCATCATTGTCAACAAGCGGCTGCTCTGCAGCAGCGCCCACAGTGATGGAAGACTCGTTGCTTGAAGCTGGGTTGAGTGGGTCAATAGGGGTGTATGGAGGCGGGGCATCATCCGGGGTGCTGGGAATCAAGGTCATGTTCTATAAAATGCCTTCCTTCAAGCCGCACGCAGACGGAATTTGACAAACTTATAGGTGGCTATAGTAGGAGAGGAGTTCGCTGTGCGGTGAGATGCGATGAGGAAAGGTCAGAGGAACAGGAGAGTCCCAGCGACAGGCGTTTTCACTATATAACTATCTCGAGCCCGCTCTGGTTGCTGCATTAGCGCCGTCCGCCACAGCGTTTCGTTGAAAACTAGGCAGCGACATTTCTCCCGGATGCACCGCATCGACCGTCGATCTTGGCCCAATGGTGATGAAGCCTTGGTGCCCAGAAGTCAAGCTTTTCCAGGGCTGGTTTTGCATTTGCAGAATTGTCGTCCTCAGCCTCGATTTTGGGCAGCACGATGGAAGTATAAAAGAGTTGCATGGAACATGGGTCTTTTATAGTCGCGCTCACCTTTATAGAAAGTTATGCTCTTCCAAGGGTTGTGGATTACTCCGCCTCATCATTATTGCTGTTGTCTCGCCAGAGGTTATCTTGCTGCCTTCGAGAGTGCCTTCGAGCTATATCAAATCCACATCCTGGGCCGTGTCCCGGATGACCGCGCCCGGGCTGATGGCATGGACAGTGGCACAATCGCCAACTTCACGCGTCCACGTTCTCGTCATGGCTTCAATCGCTGCCATGGCTCCTCCGTAGATACTCTGGCCTTCAAAGTCTAAGCTTGCACTAACACTTGAGAGGCTTGCAATTCTCCTCGATCGGTCGCGTGGTAGGTAATGGGGTCACGGCTTGTATAGAAGAATAAGAATCCTGAATCGTATATGTCGAGTATTTATAACTCAGGAAAAGAATGTAGTATAAGCTAAAAAGATTAAAAATGATAATTTTCGTATGAGATATCTGTTTCATCAGACAGTATGCTACTAAGGTCGCCCCTCACAGAGCGAGGTGAGTAATGAGGCAAATGCCAGCCCCAAAGAGACAAGTTTGCCTTGCGGGTAAAGCATGTCAAATATGTTTGTTCCTCGTGCATATATTTCGTGGTCCATCAAAAAATACGGTGACATGATGGGGATTTCTCAAGACCAGAACCCCAATTTAGCGCATCGGACCCCTCGGCCATCCTGCCTTGGATGACAAGCGGATAATGGACGCTCTGGGCAAAACCGGTTGACGAGGCGGAAGTATATTTTTAAAGTTTTGGGTTGGAGAATTAAGCTATGGTCAAATCTGGACTAGCTTCTTTCATATGATAGTGGGATTCGCTTGGCACGGACCCTGCATTGTGGCAGAGGTTCGCTAGGGTCCTTTGTCAGTTGGGAAATGGCGTGTTCTCCCTAACATGTTAGCATCATTGGTCTAGTGGTAGAATTCATCGTTGCCATGGCTTTGAGTTAAAAAGTTAGAAATTCGATGAGGCCCGTGTTCGATTCACGGATGATGCAATTAACTTCGTATTAGGTACCGTCCTTTTTTTTTTCATTTTTTCCATTTTTTCTTTCTTTCTTTCTTTCTTTTTTTTTTTTTTTTTTTTTTTTTTTTTTTTTTTTTGGGCTTTTTAGGTCAGGGCATATAAAACCCAGAGAATAAAATAGTGGCAGTTTGCCATCGGAAAACTCGATAGTTCAAGGGATGGAACCTTGCATCCATGGTATATCCTGATTGTTCCTGCTCAAACCATTTCAAACTATAAGTTCAGCAGTTTGAGGACTCCATCTGTCTGAATCTACAGATGACAAGCATCCTGGAGTTCCAATCTATTTGCGTGGTAAAGGGATGGTTACATATCCCTTGCGTTTGTAAACATCTTCAACAATTCACTATTTCACACAGGCTGTCCGCTCCAACGCGATTTTATGCCCAGTCAACAGAGACGCTAATGCTAACGGTTGGAATAGTCTTATCTATAATAACTATGGGCGAGAGTGAACTACATAGCTGGAGAAAATCGGTAGGCAGACGCCGTTTTGAGTACGGAAGTACACCTTCTAACTGAAAAAGAAAAGATAGCACATGGAAAAGATCAATCCCAAGCATCTCCCCAATCATCCCCACTCGCATCGTCTTTCGGTTTTGTATCGATCGTTTTAGCTGGTTGGGATGTTCCGCCCTTGACAGACAAGTTCTTGCTGCTCGAGATGTTTGGTTTCGATGTGCTTGTTAGCCGCGTGGCACTGGCAGCCTTCATCGCGGTCGACTTCGAAAGTCCTTTAGGTAAGGGGTTTTTAGATTTTGCTTTGGACTGGGCGGCTAACCAACCGGCAAAATCGGGTTCTCCACCGTCATCAAATACGGTGTGCGGAGAAGTTGCTAGAACACTAGGAGAATGTGATCTTTTAGCATCAAAAGGATCGTCCGCTCCATCATCTTCATTGGCCTCATCATCCATAGCTCCCCATGCGTCAAACGCGTCCTCTTCTTCGTCGTCTTCTTTGGGTTCAGGTTCCAATTTACCTCCTAGGGGTGGAGGTGCTGATGGGGCTCGGGGAATATGTTGCGCACCGGGTCGCAAGATTTGTTTTGATTTGTCGAGTTGGACAGATGGTGACGAGATCGCTGGACGCGGCACTGAGGAAGATCGGAGTGTAGGTACAGCAATGGGCTGATTGCCATTGGATGTTGGTTCAATTTCACCTTTCGCACTAGTTATTTTATTTGTAAATGATGAAATTGCCCATCCTGCCCAGGATGTGTCATTTAGCGTCCCCATTCGGGCAGCACCTGCGGCAGGGGCATCAGAGTGATTCTGGGCTGGTAACGCTGTATCTGGTAGCGATGCGCTGAATTTGCGAATTCGTTGCAGATATAAATCAAGCGTTTTGTTCGCCTGATCACGAACGAGCCTTTTCATTGGTTGGTGAAAATTAATTTCTGCCCTAGTGCTTGGAATGGCAATACTAACTTTTCCTTGTCTAATAAAGAAGGGCATATTGCTGGTAGCAATTTCGTTGCACAGTCCTCCTCAGTAAATAGGTCTAGAGTTGCACCTAGAGCAAGCAAGCCTGCGTTTCGGGCATGGACGAACGGATCCCTCAGGGATCGACTAAATGCGGCTGTGAGGACTTTGGCTCTTGACTTTATAAGCAGTTTCGGTATTAGCAATCAAATTGTAGTCAACCAAAATAAAAGAAGGAACTGACACTTTGTCCCAGGTTCCTTGCAATTCTACCGAGACATATGGTCGTGTTTGTTCGGATTCCAGGTTGCTCATCGTTGGCAGTTTTGGCGAGGTATCGCAACAGTTCGCCGTTGATGGTGCGGTCAGAGAGTTTCCCGATGACCGTGAGCACTGCTTTTACAGTCTCCTCTCTTACAACCGGAGCGATATCGGTAAAACCAGTCACCTGAAAGCATCTGTTAATATATAAAAAGCAAGACTATCCAATCGTTCCCATGGTATAAAACATACCATTTGGGGAAATATTTTGTCGTTAACAATCTTCTGTGGGAGACGGTCGATCATCAGAGGGAGATTATCGAGCAAGCAGACACGTATAGCACGGTCAGGGTTGCCGAATAATCGTACAATAACCGGTGTAAGTTTACTCGAATACTCTTCCTCTGAGAGCTTCGTGCCGATCTTCAATATGGAAGCTAAAACTTTCGGACCCCCACCACCAAACACGACTGAGTTCAGCAGCTCGGGCAAAACTTTCATCTTAAAGAAATCTTCGGGAAAATCATCTGATAGCTCATCGAGTTCACTAAAATAGCGGGATTAGACGAATAGTCACAGAGGCTCTTAAAAATAGATATAGAAGTACTTAATAAATTGATCCCTCTCCTCTTCGCTTTTCAATCCTAGACTTTCAATATCCTGTGTGAGCCTTATCAGCGGGGTTTCAAAGAAGCCACCACTGCGCTTTCCTTGTTCCAGGAAATTGGACACACTCAGCCTTAATTTTGGATTGGGATTCATAAGTCTTTTGTAACTTTGATGCATGCTCGGCGGGACATTCGAAGTCTGGCCTGCCTGCTCGTTTCCTCTATAGCTGCCGTTAAAAACTTCGAAAATAAGGCTCCCGAAATTGTAAGAGTCCGTCGCAGGTAATGGGTTGCGTTTGATAATTTCCCAGCCGCCTTTTGCGATCTCCGGTGGTGCGTAACGTGAGGAATCTGGTAAAAGACTACCATATGTCTGCTGCAATGTTAACCACCAACTCTCACGAGTAAGGCGGAGAGAGGGAAACGAACGTATATTACAGCATCGTCCTCCTTCATAGAGCTAAGTAGATCAAATCCGCCAAGTTTCCATTCCCCACTTTCACTTGTGTATATAGAGGAGACCCGGACCGCGCCATGAACCGACGAAGCATCTTCATTGATAAACTTAAGCGTTGACTGCAAAGGTCCCAGAATTAACGAAAAAAAACTTTGAGTAAATGAGTAATTTCATTATGTATGAGCCTTACAGCAATCGCAAATAAGCCCCATTTTGCGGTCTCCTCGCTCAGACTCCTCCTTTTTACCGGCCAGGAAAGGGGACTGATCCTTTCGGTCACGATATAAATGTTCGCGTCTGTCTACGGCTTCCCGTTAACTTTTCTTGTTTCTGTGGTGAAAATAGAAGAACGACACAGCAATATCACGCGAAACAAGCAAGAGTATCCCCACCTCTACCGTTTCCAACACTTTAATCACGCCGGGGTGCCTGAGGGTACGGTGTTTGCGAATTGCATTTTTCGCGAGGGGCAGGCGGGATTTATTTGCTGCAATATCAAAGGTAAATATACTGCATGAAGAGCCATCTTCCTAAATTATCAAAAAGTTGATAAGATTAGCTCCAGAAAGTCAGGTTGGCGTGGAAGTTCCGAACCCCATACCCGTTTTGTCCCGTTGTGAAGTGTCCAGGTGGACTCGTTATCATCAACTCGGTCGCCGAAACTGTACGGAAACGAGCTACCCTTGGCAATAGCTGAAGCAACAGCTGACTTTAGAAAATCCATGTCCAGGAAAATAAAGAAGAGGTGATAAATTCCGCCGCAAGTAGCTAAAGGAGGCCACCGGGATTGTTTTTCTTTTCCCCTTTTGCGCGAAAAATACGAACTTGCTTGTCAAATAAACATTTGCATGTGTTGTATATCATTATTACAAAGTCGATGGACTCTGAAAAAAGAAAAGAGAATGGGTATTAGGTGGTATCTGTACTGGTTGGAAGTAAAATAATATCATCATGAGGGATCCGCCTCCACACCTTGCATGGTCGCGGCTCTGTCATGATGTCCCAATTGAGCTTAGCGTTATGGTTGGCGCCTCCGTTGTCCAGTTTCCTCCCAGATACTGAAGCTTTGACAATCACTATTCTCCTGCTCGAGAACCAATATTGGCAGGATGAATCCTACTCTGAATTACAAGGCTTTTATAATGTTTCTCCATCACCTCCTTTAAACTTATAAACTGGGCATCTCAGCTTCTAGAAACAGGTCAGTTCCCGACCCATCTCGATGGCTGTGTTTCCCTCTCCCCTAACCCCAAGTTGAGAAGAATCTACACACCTATTTTCCCACTTTCATCCCTCATAATCTCCTATGATGCGAGACTGGTAAAAGGTCAGACTCCCAAAAGAACGTCAGGCAAGAGCTTTGGCACATGCACAGAGAGATGCGGTACTCGCACCCATGGGACAAGACAAAATGGACATATCGACACGACAGACTACTTCAATGTTTGCGAGGTGGAATCCTTTTTCTTCTTCGCCTTGATTCTCTCTGTCTCTCTTCTGTGACTGATAAGTCAGATATATCATGATTTTTTTTCTTTTTTTTTTTTTTTTTAAAAAAAAAAAAGTACGAAGTTATTGAATGCCCATCGCCCAACTGGTGGCGAATATCCTGGTCCTCTCGCGGCCCTCCTACCTCTCAACCATTTTCCTTCCTCTACTCCTCTCTGTTTCTCTTCGCTATCTCCTCACTTTGGGGAGGGATTGTCGCAGGCACACTGTCGGCAAGAGGGATCTGATTTCTGACCCCTAAAGTACTGGGACAGTCATGAACTTATCATGGAAGATCTCTTGGAGAAAAGCAAGATACCAGTGTGTTCAACAACCACTTGCCGCCACTTAACTGGAGTTCCTGTCTGCTTTGCTTCATGAGGACGCGAGGAGCTAATGGCAGTGGCGGACAATGCAAAAATTTTCAACTTTCCTGTGCGCGAACCAGAAATAGAGAGGAGACGGGAGAGGGATTGGCTTGGGAGTGAGAGGGAAACGAGAATTTACCGAAGTTCGTCTCTCCTAAGTAGGGCATTGTGGAGTTTTTGACTTCTTAGTTGGGAAAAAATCTTTATATCTGTTTTGGCCCCCGCAGTTATGGATCGAGAGTCGTTTCTCCCGCAAACGGAGTTGCTTGTTGTGCGTCCCTTTTGCCTTGCCTCGTAGTGGGCTCTCCTGCTGAGAACCGCTTTTTCTGCTGCATTGTAACTCTTCGCTTGCACGTATGAATGATGACCAAAATGAAAACTGAAAAGACCTGAGGAGAAATTTAAAAGAAAAAGTTCGAAGGAGATGACAGCAATTATATCACATCACACCACCTCACATCACCATCAAATCTCTTATCCCCCTGGATTGGGTGACTATAATGTCAAAAGAATCCCAATCCTGAGTCCCAAGGAGCGAGGCAAACCGAGAGAGGACAAGGGCATGGTTCAAAAACTCTGCTAAGTCTCTTTCAACCCTCCTTTCTGCATCTGCTGACAATGTTCATTCCCGCGCCTCCTAGATACATACCCAACGACAATAGATATATACACGGTTCCCTAAAAACGAGAGCGACAACAACAAGGAAACAAAACATCTTGTCTCCATACCACCCATTTTAAAGGGGGTGGAACGAATACGAACCAGAAAAAAATACAATAAATCAACTTACGCATTTTCATTGCAACGTAATACACGACAGGATCATCATCGCATATACAACGCATACACCAACCCACAAAAGTCTTACAGCATTTTACCACACAGCACACCACGCATCCACGCACAGTACACACAGCACATAAAAAAATGCATGAAACCATGGAATATTGAAGTATCAAGCCTACCCCATCCGCTAATAATCCTCACAATCTCAACAGAACCCTCGTTTCCCCTCTTTCCTGCCCGCACCCACACTTTCAAACCTCAAAAACAACCGAAGGCAAAGAAGAAAGGCGATAAAAAAGAGAGGACCCATGGACGCACGAATAGTGGAAGGGGCAACTCACGACTATCAATATATTATTCTACTTACATATCTAACCTAATAGAATGAGAATACAATTCTGTTGCAGCCTCGTTGGCAGTTAGTCCGCATGGTCATTCGGCCAGACAAGACATCTAGGTGGCTCGCCCTCCAACTCCCCTTCCCCTTGCCTCTCATAAAAAGCACTCACACACGTACATTCTATATGGTAACCCATACGAAGTACACGTTGTACACATCTCCTTCCATATGTTATGGCATGCAACGTAGCACAATATACTTGCACGTAACGTAGTTCCAATAAGAGTATTCATACGTGCAATCATCGCATACCTAG